CGTGTACACAGAAAACCCCCAGGACTCAACAAAAAACTGACAGAGCTAGTAGACCATTTTAGTAGAGTGGCAGGATACAAGGTCAATATACAAGAGTCAGTGGGATTCCTCTACAGTAACAATGGGAACTCAGAGAAGGAAACCAAGAAAGCAATACCATTTATAATAGCCAATCATAAATTGAGATACTTAAGAGTAAACCTAACTACAGACACAAAAACCTTTACAAAGAAAACTATAAAACACTCTGCGAGACACAATAAAAGACTTAAAAAAATAGTAAAAGTTTCCCTGTTCATGGATGAGAAGACTCAATATAGCAAAAATGACAATCTTACTGAAAAGTCTACATGTTTAACACAATGCCAATACAGATGCCAAATTCATTTTTCAAAGAGATAGAAAAGACAATTCACAAGTCTATTTGGAGATGAAAGAGACCTCAAATAAACAAAGTTGAAAAATGAGAATGAAGTAGGAGGTATAGCACTCCCTGATCCTAACACCTACTAAACAGTTAATAAAACAGCATGGTCCTGGTACAATTTTAGGCACATAGACCAATGGAATAGAATTGAAACCCCAGAATTTATCCATCTATCGATAGTCAACTGATATTCGACAAGGAAACAAAACCTTCCAAAATGGGAAATGACAACCCCTTCAACAAATGGTAGTGGCAAAACTGGACTATAACCTGTAGAAAACTGAAGTAGGATGTACATCTCTCACCACACACAAAAAAGCAACTCCAGGTGGATCAGAGACCTGTGGGTAAAGCCCCAAACCATGAAGATCATAAGATACAAAGTAGGACCAAGCATAGAAGGCCTAGCTCATGGTATAAAAAGGCAGACAAATACAGCCAAAAATACACAACTAGGAGAGGATAAAATTGACGAATTTTAATTTTAGTTTTTGAAGATTAAATCCCTGTGCATATCAAAAACATTTTCTAACAGAGTGTAAAGAAAATCTACTGACTGAGAATAAAACATTTGACAATACCATTTCAGAAAAGGGTTTTATAACAAAAGTTTACAGAATCCTTCAGGACCTCCACAAGAAAAAGACTGATAATAGAATTACAAAATGGACAAAAGACAAGGAAAGACCTTTCACAGAGGAAGCTATTTGAATGGCCAACAGAAATATGAAGACATACTCAAAATCACTGGCAATAGGAAAGATGCAAATCAAAACCACAATGAGATACTATCTCTCCCCAGTAGAAGTGGCAAAGTTTAAAAGAACAACAAGTAATAAGTGTTGGAGAGGATATGGAGAGATAGGCACTCTTACACACTGTTGGTGGGATTGTAAAATGGTACAACCACTCTGGAAGGCATTTTAGTGTTTCCTCAGAAGGCTGAACATAGAAATTTCATATGACCCAGACATTCAACTGCTTGGAATATATCTTGAAGAAATTAGAAAAGAAATACAAGTGAAGATTTGTGCATCAATGTTTATAACATCATTATTCACTATTACAAGAACATGAAACAGCACAAACACCCAACCACAATCAAATGGATTGGGAAATTGTGGTACATTCACATGATGGAATCCTATACACCATGCAGGAACAATGAGTTGAAAAATTACTATCTAACTTGGGAGGGACTGGAGTGCATTTTGCTAAGTGAACTAACTCAGACCCGTAAGGACAAATACTGAAGAAGAGCATTATTGTCGAAATAGAAAGATAACTAGTAAAACATGTATGAGGATCTAAAGTGAAGGAGGGTAGGAGCTTGCTTCTTTCTTGACTTTGAAGTCTGATCTTTAAATGTCTAATCAAATTTGCGTGGCCTTGAAACTCTTCTGATAAGTTGAATATCTGGTGGACTTTTCTTATTGGGATTGATCTTTAGAACCTTCTTGCTCCTCTTTCATTTCCTGTGTGGCAAAAGTAACTTTCTCAACTATGAGTGTCTTAAATCTGCATGGATTATACTTCCTTTTTCTTTGATTGCATGTCAGTTCTTAATTCCATGCAATATTCCTAAGGAAATCTGTTTCTGAATCAAAATCAGTTCCCAGAAAAATGTGCAAAATTTAGTAGGTTCTCAACAAGTGTGGAGGGAATATAAGAATTAATACTCTTCTTTCAACAGTTCTTGCTATAACTGGCTCCCAGAATTTTTCTTGAGAGTCTGTAAAAGTCCTTGTTGAGGTTAAGTAGAAGTTACTTTCAGAAGGAACCCTGCGACTGCCTTGTGCAATATGACTTACAACAACATCAACTGCTCTATCGTTGGACTCTCAAAAGGAGCCACGTTGCTGAAAGAATTTAATGGAAATTTAATACAGTGAAAGATTTTAATGAAAACGTAGTATCAAGATGTTGGAAAATATCTTTGTTAGTCAATTTGACCATAGTTTCATGTAGAAATTGAGCACACAACTTCTAATCGCAGAAAGATTTAAACTAATCATTGTTCTGAAACTCCTCATTTCGGTGAATTCGGGCACAATACCCAATATCAGCCTCCCTTTTTCTATCAGTCAAGTGGGGAAAATAGGAATTTATGTACTTCTGAGGATTACAGGTGGTACTGTATATATAAAAAAGAATTTGGTACAAACCTTAACCCTTACACATACTTAACAATGATGGAGACTATTGTGAGTAAAATTTCAAACTGATCACTTCTGATTGGATGCCTTTCTTAACCTCCCAGGTAGAAGAGCGTGTGTCTGTCCTGCTCCCTGACTGCTCTCATATAACATCTATGCGTGGTTAGCAGGCTCCAAGTCTGTATTTCTCAGGATACTGGATATACTCTGAAGGTAAAACTGTTTTTAAATCCCAAATGTCTAGCACAGAGGAGGTGCTCAGTAATTGAACAAAATCAAGCAAGACTGTAATGCAAGGCCTTAGTTAGAGGAGTCCTTTCAATACTGGGGGTGAGTCAGCTGCAGGGCGAACTCTGCGGGGAGCCTCTCACTTTCACTCTAAGAAGTTTGGAAGAGAATGTTCTGTCTTGAAGGGAGGGAGGATACCAGTCCAAGTGGACAAACTGTCACTTCTGTCATCCATTGCAGTCTGGGCAGCTCACACCTGGCGAGGGACATACAGTTCAGCAACCACAGACAATGGTCACTGTCGGGAGGTGAAGTGGGGAGAGTTCCATGGGGAGAGTTCCATGCTAGGACCTGTTGCTTTTTCTAAATCCTTATTATATGCTAAACTATAAACATTTTAAAAGATTTAAAAAGTTACGAGAGTATGTCTATCACTATTTTCAATATCACTGTTACTGCTGTATCCCATTGAGTTGGGACAGACCCACAGTTGACCCTTCAGTGGGTTTTCAGAGGTGGTAATTTGCATGGGAGGAGGTTGCCCTCAGAGTGCCTGGTGGGTTTGAACTCTGCGCTTTGGGAATTGCAGCGCGGCTTCTTACCAGTCGGCCACCAAGATTAACTTCTGAGGTTCCTCTTTATGTCTTTATCTTTGAGGTTTTAGCCCTTTATCTGGTGAAACTGGATATGAAAGAGTACATGGAGGCCTCAGATATTTATAGCTTTCATGAAACCTCTCTTTTATTAAACATTTTACTCACCTCAGTTGTGGGTTTATTAGAAAGAACTCATTCTTATTTTAGAGAAAGTGGAAACAATGTCTTCATTGATAGGCACTTAAATTACACTAGCCAGAGCAAAGCATTCACCTGTTTTGAAAAAAAATTCTATGCTCTGTGCAAAAGTAAACCAAAGGTTTGGGTGCTTTTTACAATTTTGTTGTTAGCCTATTGAAGGCTCTGGATTACAAATGTAGTTTAGGACTGTAGTTGTCATAAATGTGCTTTGAAACAGCATTAACTGATTGCTCCTATCGTATCAACAGGCAAAGTTAAAAGCTCCTGAGGGAGTTTAAATATACAGCTCGTTGGAAGAATGACAAAAAAAACGGAACTCAAAGATTAGATTTAAAAAAAAAAAAAAAAGATTAGATTTAAATTTGCAAAGGGGACTTGGCCAGAACAACATTTCCAAGGGCTTGCTAGCTACAGTGAATGGTATTGAGAAGATTTCCATCTGAAGACCAGGCAGGTATTGGACCTTTTAATTTCCCATCTCCTTTTACTCAGCCATGGTGATGCAGTGGTTAAAAAAGCAAATTAGGTATTATTGTCATGACATGAGTCCAGCACGAAGGCTGCACAGTGCAGTGGACTTTGGAGGAGGGATTGTATAACAATGAAAGAATTTTACTTTTCAAAGAGAAGAAGGAACTGGGGGG